GGGGGGGGGGGGGGGCAGGACTCCTGGGATCTGTCCCAGCTGAAGACGGTAGTGTGACCCAGTGGTCAGAGGGGGTGGGGGGCAGGACACCTGGGCTCCCTGCCCAGGGAGGCAGTGGGGTTTAGTGGTTAGAGCAAAGGGGGAGGGGGGACAGGATTCCTGGGTTCTGCCCCAGCCCAGAAAAGCAGTGGGATCCAGTGGTTACAGCAAGGGGGGGGGGGCAGGACACCTAGGTTGCACCCCAGCCCAAAAGGGCAGTGCGTCCCAGTGGTTAGAGCAGCGGGGCTGGGATACTGGGCACACCTGGGCTCCATCCCCCGCCTGGGAAGGCAGAGGGGCCCAGAGACAGGACAAGACTCCTGGGTTGCAGCCCAGCCCGAGAGGGCACAGCATCCCAGTGGTTAGAGCAGGGGGGCTGGGATCCTTGCAGCCCAATACTGATGCCCAGTGGTCAGAGCAGGGCGCTGGGACGCGGCTGGGCTGCACCCACGGGCGGGAGGGCAGTGACGCCCAGTGGTCAGAGCAGGCAGGCGCTCCCGGTGCAGGCGGGCCCCTCCCGCGGGCGCACCACGTGCTGGGGCCGCGTGGCCCGGCCGGGCTGCAGGCACGGTCTGGCAGGCGTCGCAGCGCAGAGCCGGGGCTGCGGGGCCAGGACAGCGCAGGAGGAGCTGAGCCTTGTCCTCGGATCCCGGCTGCTCTGCCTAATGAATGGCGTGCACTGTGCATGGGAGCCCATTAGGGAGACTCGTGAGAGTCATTAGCAGCTTAGCACGGAGCTTTTTCTTTCAGCCGGGGCCAGGGGTTGTCTGGGGCTGCAGGGGCTGAAAGGGGAGCTCCGGCCGCAGCTTGGGCACCAGGTGCCGTTGGATGCGTCGCTGCTGCACGCAGGTGACAGCCGGACGGAGGGAGGCAGATACAGAAGGGTTAACCGATTTAAGGGCTGAGCGGAGCCGCAGCCTTCCCCAGAGATGTGGCCTGTATCCAGACCAGCACCTGGTGACATCAGGATGTGAGTAACTGGGCAGAGATTTAAGCCAGTCCCTTTCCACGCAGGCTTGCTACATCAGCTCCAAATTTGGCGGTTTCCGAGGCTGAGAGGTGTCCCACCCTGGGGAGCAGGCAGGCAGGCTAAATCAGTCCCGAAGGGGCTGCTGCCTGCCTTACAGCGTGCTAATAACAGCAGCTTCCCCTTCCCCGAGTCCTCTCGTTTCAGGCGAGTTGCTTTACCCACCACTGCAATGCAGCCACCTCTGGGGCAGTGCCTCGCTGCTGCTCGGGGACATGTTCAGCACTTCCCAGTGGAAAGGGCTCTCCTTGCACATCCCCGTGGGTTGAGTAGTGATGGTTTTTTTTAACCCCTTGCCAGCCATCCCCTTTGTTTGGCACCTTCGATGCCCTTGCAGCTGCTCCCTGGGGGGGGTGGGGTGTCTGAGACCAAATTCACCTACACCTTGGTGGCCAAGTCTAACTTTCTGGGAGAAATCTGAGGAATTTAAAATTGCCCGTGGCAGTCGTGGGCTGTAGAACAAACCTGGCCGACGGGAATTTGGGTGCGGAGTCCCCACCAGCACCGTTGCCCCGGCTTCAAGCTTAGTCTCAGGGCAGCCCAAGGGTGAAACGCCTGAGATGGCATCAGTTTCAGGGCTGCTGTTCAGAGCTCAAGGGGCAGTAGGAGAATTGGGACCAGTGTCACACTGCATTTCAGGAAAGTTGTGAGCAGGGGCGGGTAGGAGAGAGGCTGAGGAGTGGGTAGGAACTGGCCTCTTCTCTTAAAAACACACCTGCAGCTTGTAGTTGTCAGCAGGGAGGATGGTATGTCTGCCTCAGCAGTCAGAAGACTGAAATGCCACAGTAGGGAGAGGTAATAAACTCTTCCTCCCAGCAGGTTTGTCCATGTCCTGAGCACTGGGGCTCTTCCTCCTTCCTTTGGTGAAACTGGCCATGTCATGATGGAGCTCCCTTTCTGCCCTCTGTTTTTGGGTGTCTTGTTCCTCTTGGCACTAGTCTTACAAGTATGCCAGCAATCGCCTGCCCCTGCCCTTGTAACCATGCCTTGCCGCTGCACTGAGCATCCAGGACACCACGGATCAGGGCCTGATCCAGCCCATCAGACTGCTAGCCCATCAACTACAGCATCCTGCAGCCTGGCAGCAGTGCTGCTAAATGCAGCACCGGAGGTTTAAGCATGGGGAAAGAATGGGAAGGCCTTTCTGCATAAGAGATGTTTTAGCCCTCCCGTGTGCCCTGTGTAGGAGCTGGGTGTGGCCAGGGGGCAGGGAGGGAACTCCTGCCCACATCAAAGGACCAAGGCCACAGTATCAAAAGCCAGTTCACCCATTAAAACAGATGCTCTAGTTTCTCTGTGATTCTGGGTCTGCTTTCTTCTGGCTGCTGCTTCTAGGGCTGAGTAAAACTTGGCTTCCAGCGCCATCCACGTCTTGGCCGTCTGGGAGAAGTCGGGTGCTGCTGTGGGTAATGCGCTTGGCTGAGAATTGGCTCATCCTGCGTCTTCTACAGGTTCCCTGTGTCCCTGTGGGGAAATCGCTTCCTTTCTCAAGCCAGGTTTTCGAAAGGGGTTTTTCCTTCTGCTGCTGCTGCATAGTAGCTCTGTCTGCTGAGTGTTTGACGGGTGCTGAGCTCTTTGGAAAAGCTAGGCTTTATCTAGGTACCTTAGTGTAAGCTGGACCCTTGGAAATGGGGACTTTTGTGCCTCAGTTTCCCCACCTAATAACAGCAGATGATGCTTCACTGTCTTACAGGAGGCTAAATGAATGAGTCTATAGATGCGTGGCGCTCGCAGTGCACAGCGCCAGAGTGGCCTATAAATAACTCCTGTCAAAGAAGAAGCCAATTGGTGCTTATTTATTGGCTCCCAGGGTCTGTTTTCTCCAGGATCTGGGCTAAGACCTGCTTCTTAGTTCTATGCTGGCTGCAACCCCAGGTCTGACATGGTGACATCTTCCTATTACTGCCCATCCAGACTGGATTTGCCGCAGCTGCCTAGCAGTGAGCGAGTCACCTTCTCCTGTTACCCCCATGTCTCAGATTTGTACGTAGCATCTATTGCTGTGGTATCTGGGTACTGCTGAGCCTCTGAGGTATCCAGTGCCACTGGAAACCTTTCTGCTGTTTACTGCTTAGAGAAAAGAATGACTCCAAGGAAAGGCACTAGATCTGCTGGTGATAAAGCAGGGACCAGTGTCTGCTTTCGTGGGGTGGGAGGGACGCTTTGTGCCTGCTTTGGAGCTTGCTCGGATTTTGGCTTGGGAGCTCTAGATGTCTGAGCTGCTGCCTGCCAACAGAAGCTGGAGCAGGGGCTGAGAGTTAAGGCTGCTGGAGCCTAGCTGTAGCTGTCACTGACTCGCTGTGCGACCTTGAGTGAATCACTTCCTCCTCTCATGCCTCAGTTTCCCCAGCTGTAAGATCAGGGTGGATACTTCCTTATCACTCGCCTGCCCACCAAGGTGTAATAGCTGTGACGCACTTTGGAGATCCAAGGGTGAAACTTGCAGAGGAGCAGCCTATTACATCGTTACAGACACTCCTCTCTCTGTGCTTCCTCCGCGCTCCTCCCGCAACAGAAGTAGAAACAAACTCACCTGCCGGAGAGGGAGAAAAGCCGAAGTATGTCCACTGGGGGCTTTGCCATTGCTATTGGCTGTATGCCGGAGATGCCTGGAGGCTGTGGGGATGAGGATGGAGCCCCAGCCTAGATCTATTAGCCGTCGCCTTCCCATTGTAGCTGGCAGAGGGATCGCAAGGAGTCTAGGCCGTGTTTTGCTGACCGTGGCTCTCTGGGAGGGGCCCGTGGCAGCCTGGGCACACCCACTCAGTCTGTCTGCTGCTTGAGCCTTTCTGCCTGTGTTTCCACAGAGGTCCGTAGCGGGACAGGCTCCCGCACCCTGCAGTCTGCACGCTCCCTGCCAGGGACTCCTCACTGCCTGAAGCACTACCCCGTTGATCTGCGCACCTCCATGGATGGCAAGTACAAGGAGATTGCTGAGGTAGGTATTGACCTGTTCCCAGCACGTCCTGCTGTCCAGTCTGCTCCTCTTTCTGCCACTCCCAGGCCTTTCCTCCCTCCTCCTGCCAGCCATGCACTGCTACGGTCACTGATGCCTGGCCAAGACCAGCCCAATTCTGATTCTGCCCATGGATGGCCTCTGCTCTGCTGCCCATGTGACAAAGAGCCTTGGGCCCATTGTCTCTGCTGGGCTTCATGCGGGAACATGTGCATCTTGCCAGGCTCAGAGCTGCAGAATCTACTTACTCGTGTGCTCTCCCTTCCCCGCCCTGCAGCATATGTGGATGCCCCCGGTTCCCACTTTCCCTTGGCCTCTTTCTCCCCTATGGTGCGAGTTTGCCAGGTCTCAGCTGCTGGAAGGCAGGTTTCTCCTGTTGGGATGGTCCCAGTGGACCCAGTGCTGCCAGCCTTGTGTCAGTGTTGGGCCAAACCCTCAGCTGGGATAAATGACTCAGCCCTGTTAAAGTCCAAGGAGCGGCAGCAGTTTACACCAGCTGGAGATCCTGCCGCCATCCCTGACCGGCGCCCTGCGTATAGATAGCTGGGTGTCTCCTCCAGCAGCTGCTGGCTCCAATAATTGAACTGCATTTCCACTCAGCAGGGGGAATCCTGGCAGAGCAGAGCTGGCCTGGCCTTTTCCCCACCCTCCCTTCAGCCAGCTGACCCTGCTCCCCCTCTCCTGTGACTGTGCTTGGCAGGGCACCTACTGACTGGCCTCTTGTGTGGCCACGTGCCTGGCAGCCAGGACGCAAACAGCCATTGACCGATGAAATCCTCAGCCCCCTGAAGGCAAATTTATCATCATCTGCTCGGGCAGGGATCAGTGCTTTTGTCAGGAGCCCTTGAAGCAGGGAGGCAGGCGGAGCAGCATGGCTCAGCTCAGCACGAGCCCAGCAGAGGCGCATTTGCACTGAGAGCTACCCAGGCAACCCCAGAGCCTCTGCTTTGGCATTTTAATGAGTGCAGGTCTCTGGGCAGAAGCACTTTGTCTCCTCTCTGCTTTTAACAAGCCTCCCATGTGGCTGCCAGCAAGGGGCGGATGCTCCATTGTGGGGATCCAGGTTGAGGACTGCCCATCAGCAGTCCCAGGTCGCTGGTGCCATTGAGTAGGTCTGCATTGCTGCCCTTGGGTGCAGCCCTCCGGAGCCTGATGCCCTTCTCTGTCGCAGAACCCAGGTGGTCTTGGAGAGCTTCTCTGAGGCCAGGGCAGCTCATCCCAGGCAGTGCCGAGGGCACAACAGGAGGGCTGAGCCGGGGGCTGACCTTCACGGGCTTGCCCTGTGCTGATTTGTCCCCAGGAGCTGTTCTGCCGCTCTCTGGCAGAGAGCGAGATGCGCAGTGCCCCCTATGAATTCCCCGAGGACAGCCCCATCGAGCAGCTGGAGGAGAGGCGCCAGCGCCTGGAACGGCAGATCAGCCAGGATGTGAAGTAAGACCGTGGTCCTTCGTGGTCTTGCCCTGCTTGAGGTGGAGAGGAGGGAGGAACATTGATTAGGTCCCAGGGACACAAGCAAACTTCCTCAGCCAATGCACCTGGGACCTGGAAGCAGACCAGCTGGGGGCTCACCTTTGAGCTTTGAACTGTGCTGCTCAGAGCTATGAGAAGCTCATTGCACCCTTGGCCAGGAGCAATTGCCTGGTGGGCACCATGACCCAGCAGGACTGTGTGTGTGTGTGTGTGTGTGTCTCCTTTGGCTGGACTGTGCGCAGTGTCCCGTCCGCCAGGAAAAGTAAACCCTCGACGTCCTTCACCTGCCCCAAGCCCCATCACCCCAAAGGAGCACACTGGGTGAAGATGGGGGAAGGTGGGCAGGGGTCTCGGGTCCCCCTCAGCACCAGCCCCTCGTGGGTCCCACCAGCCCCCATCTGTCTTGGGTCTTCTCTCTCTGTCTGTCTCTCTCAGGTCCTGCCTCCCAGTGGGTTTCATGTGGTTGCGTCTGTTGTGCCTGGTGTTTGGTTTTTGCATTAACATTCATGTTTTCTCTTTTTCCCCCTCTCCTTCTCCCTCCCTCCCTGTCTGTCTGTCTCTCTGTCCATCTGTCCATCCCTGCCTCCACCTCCGCTACCCGTTTGTCCTCAGACTAGAGCCGGACATTTTACTCAGAGCCAAACAGGACTTCCTGAAAATTGACAGTGCTGCTGACTTACAGTGAGTGTCCGGCTTTACCTCTCTTTGCTGCTGCCCTGGGGTAGGCAACACCCCAGGAGCTGGGTCCTCATCCAGCCTCCAAACCCAGCCCTGGCTGGCCAGGGAGAGACGTTACTTTCCTCCCTCTTTCTGGTGGGATCTGCCTGGGTGGGAAGGGAGGTGTCTAAGTTTATGAAGAGAAGCCAGAGAGCACCACAGTACCTCTTCAGCTGGTGCCCAAGGGGTTAATCCAGGTCTTTTTTGACCTCTGCCTCTCCCCTTCTTAAGTGTGTGTACTGAGGACAGGTAGTTGGAGTAGGGGAAAGGGATAGAGCTGAGCAGGTTAGCATGACCCCCCACCCCATGAGGGAAGGGTCCTGAGCTCGTCTCCCTGGCCAAGCCAGCGGCCCCTGTGAAGCCGTGCAGGTAGGGATCTCCCTTCAGGAGTGGGGAGGGTGGCGTGGAAGTAGAAACCAGCTTCTGCTGCTGCTGCAAGCCAGCGTGTATGGGCACACGGTTGGGTCTTGGGCACTCTGAGCATGGCCACCTCAAGAATGCAAGAGCCTGGGCACCAGCCCTACCGGGTGCTGTCCATAGCCACCTTGCTCTTGGCCTCCTCTCCCTCCTGTCTTTTGCTTCTGGCCACTGCGGCTGGTGCTGGCTCTGCCATTTGTTCTGTTGGAGTTTTTCTGTCTCCTTCATTGCTTGCGTGTTGCTTTGCTGAGCCACCTGGGGCAGGGGGTCTTTCTAGCAGGACAGTTCCCAGGGACCAGCTGCCCAGGAGTGCAGCTGGGTTTGTCTGTTTGGTCCCTGTAGTGAGTCATCTTCTGATGGTAGGAAGTGCCAGGTATGTGGGGATAGACTCCTTTCTGTCAGCTTCCCCAGGGCAGGGCTAAGCTGTTAATCCAGGGACTAAATAGCTGTGGGAATACCAGTATGGCCAGTGAGACCCCAGCAGCTGTTAGCGTCCCCTGCCCTGCAGCCCTCCCTGGTCCAGCATGGGGCTGTGGTAGCAGAAGGAGGCCAAGTCCCTGCAGAGCACGTCCCCATGTGCAGTGTGTCGTGTCGTGGGTGTCTCTGTGCTTGTGTGGACCAGTCGGACGGGACGGCTGGACCGTGGAGTGTCTGTGAGCAGCCGGGTCTGGCCTCCCACCTCTGCTGTCTGACCCGGGTCTTCCTCCTCCCTCTGCAGGCTGTTCAAGGAGCAGAGCGAGGACCTGGTGGATCATGTCCCAAAGGAGCGGGAAGTGCTGCTGGAGAGGGAATTCCAGAGGGTCTCCATCTCTGGGGAAGAGAAGTGCGGGGTAAGGTTGCCTGGCCTGGGGGCCCTCATGGGAAGGGGCTAAGGCTTTCTGAGGTTATCCTTCCCCGTCTTCCCAGAAGCCCCGTTGCAGGAGCCAGTCAGTTCCCACTGCTGGGAGCTGACACCTGCTGCCTGGGGAAAGCCCAAGATACTGTGTTTCCTATGTTTCACTTCCCCCCCCGACCCAAGCCAGCCAGTATCCTGACCTGGGGCAGGATTGGGACAAGGAGTTGGGCCTGCACTCCACACTGTGTTCTGCCTGCCTGCCTGGCTGAGCATCCTTTCCCTCTGTGGGGTGCCTCTGCTGTGTTCACACGGCATCTCCCTGTGCTTCAGGTTCAAGCCCAGGCCTCTGTTCCAGGTCCTGTTGTCTTTAATTTAACCCTTTACCTGTCAGCCAGAGCTCCTGCTCTCTTTCCATAGTTAAAAGTCCAGCCCTATTTCTTTACCTTTGTATCTCTGGTGTCCACATGTTCCTGGCATTTGCAGTCAGATAGACCCTCCCAGACCTATTTCTGGGTCTTGCTGTCCCTGACGTCCTGTCTGCTCTGTAGCCAACTGGGACTGGAATCCTTCACTCTCCTTCTTCCAGGTGCCCTTCACGGACCTGCTTGATGCAGCCAAGAGCGTGGTGAAGGCGCTGTTCATCCGGGAGAAGTACATGGGGTTTTCCCTTCAGAGCTTCTGCAAGACCACCTCCCGCTACCTGCAGGACCTCTCTGAGAAGCCCCTTGAGACCCGGGTCTGTGATGAGATCCCAGAGACCCCTGTGGCTGCAGGTGAGGCTGGGGTTGTTAGGCAAGCCAGGGGAGAGGGTGTGCAGCAGTAAAATCCTGAGACGCCCTCATGTCTGGGGCATGATGGCAGGGGCGAAAGGGATGATTCCAGCTGGGCCAGTGGGTGAGAATGGGGTTGAGCCAAGCTGGAAGTCGTGGGTGACTGGTGCCACCTTAGTCAGGGGGGCACATGCCCCCCCCGCGGGCAGTCTGTGTGGGGCCCCCATGGGCGATCCTGTGGTCCAGGGTGGGTCCCACAATGGATCCCATGATGGCTGATCACTGTGCTCACTGCAGCCGCGAGGGGCCCCCAGCCACTCCTGAAAGCGGCTATAGCGAGTACCGCGATCGGCTGGCACTTGCCGGGGGGCACCAGCGTTCCCGCGCGCGCCCCCCCTCGCCTAAGCAGTGAACGTGGCCATCAGGGGGTGCACTAGTGCTCTCAGGGGGTGCATGTGCGCCCCCTACGTGCCGCCACTGCTGGAAGCCATATTCTTAGTTCCCATTGTGCTCCTGTCCCAGTTGCTGAGTTAGCACTTCCTGCTGCCCTTATTCCAGGCAGAGCTCAAAGTAGGGGCAGTCAGACCCAGGAGTCCTTGGATGGGGAGCATGAGGGAGAGGAGTCTTTGTGGTGGAGGAGGGGTCACAGCCAGGAATGTGGGTAGAGGAAAGAGAGTGTGGGGGAGGAGGAGGGTACAATGCACCGTGGTTTGCAATGGAATATGGGGACACTGGTGGCCAGGACTGCCAGGCATTGCCTAAAGTTGGGGGTTGTGCTCCTGTCTGCAGATGCTCCGGTGCACCCACCATTCACGAACCGGCACCCTTACGAGACCTGCGAACCCCAGTCCATGCCCAGCGACCTGGGCTTTGGCCTCAAGATGGTCAATGGCGTGGTCCATGTCTACACCAAGCAGGATGTCACTGACAAGTAAGCGAAGAGGGCTGGTGGGGTAGGAGCCTCTGGTGCCTGGTCTAGTGAGAAGGGGGAACCTGGGAGAAGCCAAGTGCATGCTGGGAGAATGATCTCCCCCTGGGGGTGTCAGGGTTGTGTGCCATCTCCCTGTGAGTCTGTTCAGCCTGTTATAGGGCAGTGAGCTTACAAGATCTCCCGCACAGTACTTCATCTTATCCCTTCTGCATCTGCACCCCCTGCCCCCAGCTCCCTTTGCCCTCTGCTGCTATGGGGAGCCTTGGCTTTGAGGTGTCTCCTGACTTGAGTGCGTGCTCTGTTTCTGTGTGATGAGCCTATTGCCCTGTTCCCTCCTGCAGGAGCACAGAGCTGGACCTGCCGTACCCTGATTTGCAGGAGTTCGTCGCTGACATGAACTTCCTGATGGCTCTGATCATCCATGGGCCCATGTAAGGACAACACCTTCTCTTACCTGCATTGTGGGAGCTGTGTGCGCATTGGGCTGGGATGTGTGGCTTATGCAGCAGCTGCTGCCTGTGGGTCTCCCACTCTGCTCTATCGGAATGGCTGCTGGACTCTCAAAGCAGCAGAACCAAGCCCTTCCCTGAGTTGGCCTGGTACAGGATTGGAGCCAGTCCAGCCTCAGGGACTGAGGACATGGGGATACTCCATCCTCAGCCCCTGGATGATGCAAAGAATAATGTCATCTTATCAGTGGCTCTGGCAGAGCCTGCAGTGGAAGCCAGGGTCCAGAGTGTCAAAGCAGAAGCTGCCCCTGGACATTGTAGGGCTGGTTAAGGGATGGTAACTAGTCCTGAATCCTAATCCATTGCCCTGCCCTTGGCCAGAAAATCCTTCTGCTACCGGCGGCTGCAGTACCTGAGCTCCAAGTTCCAGATGCACGTCCTGCTCAATGAGATGAAGGAACTGGCGGCTCAGAAGAAGGTCCCGCATCGTGACTTCTACAACATCCGCAAGGTACTGTCCCTGTCCACTGCCCCATGGCCTTGTCACATCACTGGCCTGGCAGCTGAGCCCAGCTTCCCACCCCCAGCTGTATGGGCTGTGGTGCCACAGGCTTTGATCCCTTTCTAGAGTCATTGCCCGCATAAGCCATTTAGTGCTGAAAAGGGAGACATTTGTGCTGGTGATGTGGGCACCTGTCTCTTGGGGCTGAGGCTCCCCCAGGCAGTGGGGACAGTAACAGCTTCCAGGCTCTACTCCTTGGGCTCTCGCCTAGTGGTGAAGGTCCTGTCTGTGGAGGGTGGGCTGAGGCCTCGTGCCTTGGGGTCCAGTCACATGTGTCCTCCCCGTTGAACAGGTGGACACCCACATCCACGCCTCCTCCTGCATGAACCAGAAACACCTTTTGCGCTTCATCAAGCGGGCCATGAAGAAGCACCTGAGTGAGATCGTTCACGTGGAGAAGGGCAAGGAGCAGACTCTGAAGGAGGTCTTTGAGACCATGAACCTCACAGCCTATGACCTCAGCGTAGACACGCTGGACGTCCATGCGGTAGGCTGTCCTGCTATGCTGCTCATCCAGCACCCGCCTGCTTGCTGCGGGAGGGTGATGGTTTGTATCTGGGGCATGGTTGGAGGGAAGAGACTATCTCTGTACCAGCTATCTTGCTCTTGTCCTTTTATTGGCTCACCTCTTGAGATAAGCAGAGACATCCAGCCTTCCCCCAGCATTGGCCTACAGAGATGTGCCATGGGTGCGAGAGGCAGCTTGGTCTCCCGTGGCCTGAGCTGAACTGAGCTCAGTGGATTTTCTTTTGCTGTTGGGACTAGGAGATGGTAGAGCTGGGTGAGGAGGAGCATCTTGTAGGGAGCGGGGGTTGAAAGCCGTGGAACTTGAATGCCTTAGGCCAGGGACTGAAGGGTTACAAGTGTCTGGCAGCCTGTCCTTGTGGGAGGTACTAGTAGTTGTAGTTTGAGGAAGGGGATCCTGGAAAGCACTAGTCAGTGGGGAGTGGGGAGGTGCCAGGTCCTCTCCTTGTTGCCTTTCCCTGAGGTGTCTCTGTCCCATGGCAGGATCGTAACACCTTCCACCGCTTTGACAAGTTCAATGCCAAGTACAACCCCATCGGGGAGTCAATCCTGCGTGAGATCTTCATCAAGACGGACAACCGGGTCTCGGGGAAGTACTTTGCCCACATCATCAAGGTGAGGGCTGGCATTGCTGCCTGGGCCACATACCTCTTCAGGAGGCTGACACCCCTGCAATGACCTGGAGACCTGTCTCCATGAAAACCAACCAGCCTGTGTGCATGAGCCTGGGGGATGGTACTGAGAAGGAGACTGCACAGGAAGTAGTGGACCTGTGGCTGGCTATTGGCTGAGACCTGAGCATGGTGTGGGTGCCTCATTTTCCATGAGGTGGCACCCTGGTCCTTCCTGGCTCGGGTGGGCATGCATGTGCCCGTCTGATCTGTGAAGTAGTGTGCGTGCCAAAGCCAAGCCTACACGCATTGTGCTGCTGCACTGAAGTGTGTAAGCAGGGTCTTGCCTTGCTGGGGCATATGCAAGACCTTTCCCCAGGTTTTGCCAACCTGGCCAGTTGGTTGGGATGGCATTTCCCACTGAGTGACCTCCCTCCCTGCAGGAGGTGATGTTTGACTTGGAGGAGAGCAAGTACCAGAACGCGGAGCTGCGCCTCTCCATCTATGGCCGCTCACGGGACGAGTGGGACAAGCTGGCCAGGTGGGCTGTGTACCATAAGGTGCACTCCAACAACGTGCGCTGGCTGGTGCAGGTGCCCCGTCTCTTGTGAGTACCGTGCTGCCAGGTGGGACTGGGCAGGAGGGGTCACAGTGCTGTGTGCACAGCTGGCAGGGCTTGATGGGGCTTCCAGCCCAGGCATATCCAGTCAGGCTCTGCCCTCTCACAAACTGCCTTCCAGCCAAGGCTCTTGCTAACCTCGAGCCCTCAGTCCCCCAGGGGAGAGAGGAATTCATGGGGGAATCACTTATTACAGCCTTTCTGCTGACGGGGACTGGCAAGGCCCAGGCAGTGGAAGCCAGGCGTTGTGCTCCCTGTTGCTCTGGTCATTCCTGCCAGGCCTGCTCTGCCCAAGGCCGCTGGAGGGCCCCGGTGGGGGCGATGCAGTTAACTGTGTGCGAGTGTGAGGTCAGGCAGAAGGCAGAGCAGGGTGGCACCTTACAGGAGAACTCATTGGGGGATGGGAAGGCCGGAGGAGGAGCCAGTGCTCTCCCTGCTGGGACCAGACCTTGTAGGGATGAGCAAAACCTGCTGAGAGCCGATTCTCTGGCTGGAATGTCAACATGGCTGGGCTGGCAGAGAAAGTGGAGGGAACGTGGAGAGGACAACTCATGGTAGCCCGTGTTCCCACGGCCACTGAGAGCACAGGAGGGGAGCGGGTGGCAGTGCTGGGTGCCTGCTCCAGGTCCTGGGGAGTGGGGGTGAGGCAGGACCACAGCTTAACCCTTCTGGCCAGCCCTGCAACCCCTAGCTGTGCTGCACAGCAGCTTCCTGACCCCAGGGAGTGAGGGGTGGCTGGAGGGGAATGACAGCGTGGGGGCATTGGGAAGCCAGCTTCTAGGGACCACAAGCTGCTTGACATCATTGCAGGAAGGAGCAGGCTCGGCAGAGGCAGCTGGGTGCAAGAACCAGTGATGACTGGAGGGGCCAGAGTGGGAGAGCAGGACCAGGCAGGGGTCTTGGGCCTCAGCAGCCTGGTTTAATCCAGATGGGCCAGAATAAGTGCCAGTTGCCTGGTCATGTGGGTAGCCTGATTTTCCCCCTCATGCCCTGGTGTAAATCAGGAGTAACCTGCCACCAGCTGGGTGCAAATCAGGGTCAGCTGTAGTGACCAGAGTGGAAGGAGCTTATGTGAGAGCAGGGTGTGGCCTTGGTCAGGGCCCCGAGGGGCTGAGCTGACCACTGTGCCCAAGTGCCCTGCTCTGAACCACCTCTTGGGCCCTCCTGCCCTCTCCAACAGCGATGTGTACCGAACCAAGAGGCAGCTGGCCAACTTCCAGGAGATGCTGGAGAATATCTTCCTGCCCCTCTTTGAAGCCACCGTTCACCCTGCCAGCCACCCAGAGCTGCACCTCTTCCTGGAGCATGTGAGAGCCACCTGTGCCAGGGCTGCATCAGGGACCCCTGGGCTGGGGCTGGCTAGGCAGCTGCTAAGCACAGGCTGCCTGGTGCGTTAGTCACTAAGGGGACTGCAGGAGGCCCCAGGGGAGGGACAGATGTCAGGCACTAAGGGGACTGCAGGAGGCCCCAGGGGAGGGGCAGGTGTCAGGCCCCCCCCTGGGAACTGCCACTGCCCTGGGCACCACAGTGGGTCACTGGGGCTTCGTGCCTGCAGAGACGTCTGTGGTGGAGGAACATTGCTCCATTGGGCTTGCTTGGGAGGTGTCCCCAGGCAGGGTGGGCCGACTGTCTCCCGTTCCCGAGCAATGGATGCTGGCTGGCATCTCACACTCTCCCCTCTTTACATCTCGGGTGGCCAGGTGGACGGCTTTGACAGTGTGGATGATGAATCCAAGCCTGAGCATCACATCTTCAACCTGGACAGCCCCTTGCCTGGGGCCTGGCTGGAAGAAGACAACCCGCCCTACGCATACTACTTGTACTACATGTACGCCAACATGACTGTGCTGAACCACCTGCGCAGGTAGGGTAGCCCTTGCTTCTCCTGTCCCTCCTGTCCCCCCCTTGGTGCAGGGCAAATCATGTCACTCAGAGGCGCATCCCCCATGGGTGAGCCCTGCTGGAGAGCACTGCCCTCCTCAGCAGCTCATGAGTGCCCTCCTGTAGAACCAGCCACAGGGTGTTGGGCTCATCCTGGAGCCTGGGACTTGCATGTGCCCTCCTGTCTACTCACCCACGTGACACTCCCCTAGTGCGTGGGGTGGCACAGTGGCCCCTCATTGCCCATGGTACACATGTAGTGGCTCAGCCCCGAGCCCATCCCTAACCTTGCTCTGGTGCCATCCTCCAGGAAGAGGGGCTTCCACACCTTTGTGCTGCGCCCGCACTGTGGGGAAGCAGGGCCCGTCCACCACCTGGTGTCTGGCTTCATGCTGTCAGAGAACATCTCACACGGCCTCCTGCTCCGCAAGGTAAGGGGAGCTTAGCACTGGACTGGCTGATTGGCCACCGGAGTCTGGGAGAGGGCAGTGGGCATGCTGGATGCTGTCGGTGCACAGGCAATGGCAGTGTCTTTATCATGCTTGGTGCAGACCATGGTTCAGACACTGGGGTGATGGGTGATGCTAGGAGAACCAGGTGAGTTCTGAAATAAAGGGCAGCCCTGGCAATCTGGCATTTCAGGAGCCCATGTGCGGGAGGGGGATCTGGTCCCCGTTGCCAAGTGATGGGATGGGGGTGCCCCAGGACTAAGGGAGCCTGGCGGTGAGTGCATGCCCTTGGCTTGGCTGCAGTCCCTCATGGAGGCACTCTGCACAACCCAGCCGAGTGAGTCCCTGTGCTCCAATAACCCGGCTTTCCCCGGGCAGGCCCCCGTGCTGCAGTACCTCTACTACCTGGCCCAGATCGGCATCGCCATGTCCCCGCTCAGCAACAACAGCCTGTTTCTGAGCTACCACCGCAACCCGCTTCCCGAGTACCTGTCCCGTGGCCTCGTGGTCTCGCTCTCCACTGACGACCCGCTGCAGTTCCACTTCACCAAGGTGAGCCTTGCCAGCATCGTGCCCCACGGCTTGGCCAGACAGCCCCAGGGGGTGTGACACAGCTTTGGCAGCAGGACCTCGTAGAGATGCTGGGACCCTGGGTGAGACTAGAGGGGAGCTGTGGCTGCAGGTCACCAGATGATGTAGAGGCAGGCAGAGCAGCCCCGGGTACCCACAGACCGGGAGAGCCAGGAGAGCTTTCTAGTGGCACGAGGGGGTGTCACAAGGAGGCCAGGGCAAGGAAACCCACCCCACCCTGGCTATGTACTGGAACAGCCACTGGCTTGGCTGCCTCGGCCTGTGCTGGAGTAGTAGGGGGATTCTGTGGCTGGCCCCTGGGGAGAGTGCGACACCGTCCCCGCAGGTTCAGGCCTGGGGGCAGGTTTAGGTGCTGGGAGCAGTGGCGCAGGCTCTGTTGCAGTCGCTGGACGGGAAGCTGAAAGTCCCTGCCCCTGTTGCATTAAGTGAGTTTGGATGGTGAAATGGTTGTGGCAGGGAGGAGGCTGCTTCTGACAGGTGCAGCAGTGAGAGCTGACTCTACCAAGCCCCTGATCCTTGCCAGGGAGGTTGATCCGGGGTCTGGGCAGAGCCCCTGCTGGGAGCAGTCCTGGGTGTGGCAAGCAGAGATGCTGCCCCCTGGTGGCTGCTTCAAACTTGCTGCCCCAATGTCTGCAGACCTGGCTCCGCTTCTGCACATCCCTGCCCTACCTTGTCTCTTCTGTCCAGCTGCACAGGAGTCGCTGGGAAGTCACCAAGACTGAAAGCCAGGGCACTCGGGACTTTTCCCCTCTACTGTGGGGCTCACTCACAGCTGGAGCATCAACCTGACCACTGGCTTGGCTTCAATGGCTGCTGTGTGTGTGCAACCAGGGGATGTGTCTGTGGGTGCAGGGCTCAGCCTGCCTGTGCCAAACTGCAGTGCCCAGCACTGAGCCCCTTAAGCCTTGCCAGCATTCTGCATTACTGCTTGCAGTCACAGCTGGCATCAGCTGCACTCCCACCTTGGCAAGAGGCCAAGGGCCAAGCTACGCCCTAGGTCTAAGAGAGGGGTCCCCACAGGGCTGGGTAGGCAGCATCCAGGAAGCCTCTGCTGGGTCTGATGCCTGCACCTCTTCTCAGTTGTGGCATCAGCTCATCTCCCTGGGGTCAGGCCAGAGCTGGCAGGTGGCTGGGCAGGAGGGCTGATGCAGTGGGTGGCCTGGTCTGATCGGCTGTGCTATTGCAGGAGCCCCTGATGGAGGAGTACAGCATCGCCACGCAGGTCTGGAAGCTCAGCTCCTGTGAAATGTGCGAGCTTGCGCGCAACAGCGTGCTCATGAGCGGCTTTTCCCACAAGGTAAGACTGGTTCCCCCCACCCCACCAAGCAGAGTCCATTACCAGCCTGAACCCCATGGTGGGGTCCAGGCTGGCTGAGATGCTTGGGGCACTGCTCTGTAACCTCTGCGTGTACCCCATCTGCCTGGTAGTCAGGGGTGCTGTGCCTCATGGCCCCCATGGCACCCCATCTCCCAGCAGCAACAGGCTGTGTGCTCTCAGAGGTACGGCTGTGTCCGAATCAGCCCTTTACCATGCTGTTGGGCTCTGCATGCTGAGAGCTGCTCCTTTGTCTCTTGGGTAAGGCCCAGAACAGGTTGCAACGTCCCTTCGTGTCTGTTAAGCCTCTCATGGCCCCTCCAGCAGGGAACAGGGTCTACCAGGTTCTACATGGCTAGTAGCTCCAGCCTGCCTGTGGATGCACAGTCAGTGTTTGCTGGACTCTTGTGGCTGCATTGCCTCTGGGAGAGCAGAGCTGTCCCCGCCACAGTGAGCTTCAGCCTAGGAAAGCTTGTGTTATGTGTGTAGCTGTCTAGAACTACTTTGGTTAGACTCTGAGGTGCAAATCTACCCTGCCTTTTATCCAGCATGGGATCATTAGGGTAAAAGCCCCTTCGGGAACACATCACCCTGACCATAGCTTTCTCCCTCCCAGGTGAAGAGCTACTGGCTGGGCCCCAATTACCTGAAGGAAGGGTCTGAGGGGAACGACATCCGACGCACCAATGTGCCGGATATTCGGGTGGGCTACCGCTTTGAGACGCTGTGCCAGGAGCTGACCCTCATCACGCAGGCCGTGCAGACAGAAGAGCTGGAGACCATCCAAGAGGAGGACTCCTTAACCATGAGCTTCAGCCCGGGGCCTCAGTGAAGGACTCTGGCCCCTGCTCTTGCCCACAGGGGCTAGGCAGGCTGGAGGCTGTGCCGGAGCATGAGCAAACCCCCCTGCCATCTCTGTAGGGTCTGGGCTCCTGTCCCCCATAGCCCCTGTTTCTTTCTTGATGTTGGTTTCAGTGCATTCTTTCCCTCTGCATTTCCCCCTCGAAAGGGGTTAATTTGGTTCCTTAGCAGTCTCCCTTGGTAACGTGCTGGTGCCTTTTTTTAGTTGTTGGTTTGGTTTTTGTTCTCTTAAACTCTTTGGATTTATTTTTACTTTCTGCAAGGCCATGGGGGTGGTAGTGCCCAGGCCCTCCGTAGTGCTTGCCATTGAAGGCTGGGCGTGTGGGGGGGCTCACACGTCTGGGACCGCATGAGTCCTGGTGCGAGTGTGCAGGGGGATGTACCCTAGGGCTGGACGCTGGGGAGCTGGATGGTGTCAGAGCCCTGAGCACTGGATGTGCCTCGGCACTGGTGGTTTGTCCCCTCGCGCTGAGCAAGGTGCTGCTCTGTGTGTGGCAGGAGCCTGTGTTGTCTGACAGAGTCATTGCCTTGAGTTGATGCCAGTTGGGTGCCTCCTAGGACCACAGTCCCCTGTGGCCGGATCTGCCGTGGGGCAAGAGGCTGAGAACCAAGCTTTGCCCTTGTCCAGTACCCAGCTTGCCACGGTGCTGCTCCCACCCCAGCTAGCCGGCTTGTTTGTGCCATGGCTCCAGCTGGGCCATTTGCTAGTGTTATTTTTTTAAATAAGGGAGGATCTATCCTCCTGACTTATCAAACTGTGATGCCCAAATCCTCCGGGCCAGGACAGTGGATGGTGTCCTCCCTGGCCCTCACTCTTGGCCTGGGGTAGCATGGAGGAAAAGCCTTTCAACCCAGCCAGAGAGCTGGGGAAAAGGCTGGGCCTTGCCATTTTTAACTCCGTATGCATCTAGTGTCAGTCAGGATGAGCATTTCTTGTTATCTCTCTGTCCATCTGAATGTCTGTCTGCCTCAGCAATCATGTCTTGGTAGGTGGGGGTGGGGACAGGACAATGTGTCTCTTTTTTTTTTTTTTTTTTTTATTAGCCCTTTAACTTAGATCCTCTTGATCAGGGCAGATCCAGCTAGCTCTGTTTCTTGGGCAATCTCATCTGCTTCCCTTAGGAGACACGGGCAGCTCCTACACTTTGCTGGTGTCCAAGGAGCAAGCAGCCGCTGTCTGTGCATGGTGCCAGTTCTGTGCTTGCATGTGCCGTGTTGTAGGGGCTGGAGACCTGTCCACCCTAGCAGCCCTCCCTGCCAGGCCATGCCCATCCTCAGCTAGCAGCACTGCTGCTTGTTGACTCTTTTCCTGTGATCTGTGGCATGAAGGGCCCCCTTGCTTCACTGCACATCAGTGAGCTTTCACTGCGCCCCATGGCCAGCTGTCCCTGTGCTTGGCCCCTTTGTTGTTACCAGAGTATTATACCCAACCGTTCTCTCGCCCTCAGCTGTTGGAGGGGAGGGGGGGAAGTTGGCAGCATCATATGTGGAAATGGGGGTTTAGGGCACCATTAAGAGGGTCTAGGAAATCATGGGTGACTGGTGCTGCCTTAGGGGGGGCACGTGCCCCTGACTGGGGGGGTCCCCCCACAGTCAATCCTGCTGGCCGGGGGCTGGGTCCCGGGGTCCCACCCACAGCCAGTCTTGCTGTCTGGGGGGACCCCCATGGCGAATCGCTGCAGTCGCTTCTGGGAGCGGTTGCACTGATTGGCCAGCACTTGCACAGGGGGCATGAGCACTCCTGCCTGCCTCCCCTGCCCGTCACTTAAGTGGTGAGTGCGGCCGGTCAGGGGATGCACTGGTGCTCTCACATACACTCCCTACGCTTTGCCACTGTAGGAAATGACCTTCCTGTTGTGGGCAAGGACTTCAGCCTTGGAAAGCCATCTAAGGCAGTTCAGGGGTGGCTGTGAGGGGTTAGAGCAAGGGGGTGAGAGCCCTTTATTGCTGTGCATGGCTGGAGGCAGAGCTCTCGTGGCTCCCTGCTTCCCACGATGCCTTGGGAGCAGTCTCCCTCCTCCAGCACCCAGTGCTTGCTCTGCAGGATTTGGCCCAACTAGAGTCATCAGTTGAATGCCAGCCCCCACCACTGCCTTTGGGCACGTAGTTGTGAGCAGTGTGCACACCCACACTGGGTTAGCGCTCTGCTGGGGCGCAGGGGGCTTCTTGCCAGGGCAGGCAGCAGGTTGGGTGCTTCTCATGGCTGAGAAGGCCTGAAGGTCCCAGCTATCCCATGTGAGTCACTGTCCTAGCTGTGCCCCCCCTTGGCATGCCCACCCAATAACAGATCTCAGGAGCCAAGCACTTAGCAGGGGTCAGGGCTTTTTTCAACTGTCCTTGTGGGTGACAGAAGAGCTCTCCGTTCCTGTGTCTGTTATGGGTCGCAGAACCACACTTCTTGTCCAGTCCTCATACCGGATAAACTTCGGAGATGCTGCTAGGCCCTGCTTGGTCTCTGGCCAGTGCTGTCACAGGGCAATGCAGGTGAGCCCATGAGCAGGCTTCAAAGCCAGAGGGACCCTACAGACCTCAGTTGTGGGCTCGGGCAGGTAGACTCATTTGGTTGCGAGGGTTGTTTCCAGCTGTCCTGGTTGTCCTGTGCTCCCACCACACCCCACCTTGCTGGTTCTGATCTTGCTTCTCTGCGCTACGTATCAACAAACGAGTTAGTTGGATATTTCTTTGTACCTTGGAGATGGGGTTCATCTCCTGCCGTCGCCTTGGAATCTGTGTGTTGTCCGAGTAAACTGTCCAGCACTGGGTCGTTGCTCTGAAATGTCGTGTTTGAAAAAAGAGCATGAGAAATAAATAGAAGCTATTTAAGTAAAACTCCTCATGTGTGTGAATTGGGGGTGTAGGGGCAAGGGGGAGGTTGGCACTAGGGCACCCGCCACTAGGCCATCAGAGCTATATCCAGACTGACCTCACAACACCTTGATTTCTGTGGCCCAAATATGTGAAGATCTCTTAAAATAAGAATTGTTCTCAGTACTTGCTGCGGCTCAGTCCTGGACTGGGTTCACCCTCCAGCGTCCCTGGAGATGGGTGATTTATTCCCTTCCCTCATTGGACAGAACAGGACACCGAGGCATGGCAATAAACCCCAGGAATGCAGGCAGTGGGTGCTCCACTCTGCTCATTGTAACAAGGAGTTGAAGGTCTATGATCTCTTGAGAGCTCAAGGTTTCTCCATAAAGAGCAGCCAGTGAGTCTGTAAATACTACACTGTAGTGCTAAAGGTGAAAGTACCACCCTGCTGCTGTCCCTTCTGATCTGGATGATGCAGTGGGTTAGTGGATTTGGGGTAGGGAGCAATCCCTCTTGGAGGAGGGAAGAGGAAGGATTAATTTACAATTGGGTGATAAAGTCACTGACAGCAATGGTTTCTCAATCAGTTAAAGGGAACCTGCAAAGGGAGCTTTCCCCTTTTGTGGTTTCTGTATGGTGGCAAAGGGCATCCTGAGAAGATTGTCAAGCATGGACTTTTGTTAACCTTGGAACTTGTATGTGGCCTCAGGACTACTGAAAAGACAGTAGGTGAGGATTCAAAGAGGAAAGGTCTCTTGGTTACTGTTTAACTTTTGTTATAATAATTCTTCAAAAGAAATAATTAGTGACCATAAGAGAGGAAGTCTTTGTTCATTGGCGAAGCGTAGGGGGTGCATGCGGGTACACGTGCACCCCCTGTGTAAAGGTGCTGTCGACACTGTCGGTCACCACTCGCTACTCCCCCTCTTGCTGCCGACACCGCTGGCAGCGTCTGCGGGTGGTCACTGACTGCCAGTTGGCACTCGCCACCTCCCCCCACACAACTGGTGACAACACCGTGGCCGCCTGCAGAGCTCCTTGCTTGCCACCGCCACGCTCCTGCCGCCGCCTGCGGGAGCTCGCTGTGCCCCTTGAACAAAGGCATTCATGCCTTGTTCAAGGCAAGTCTCTCTTCCCTCTGTCGCTGGCAGGGAGTGCTCATAAGCCTCTTGAGGCTATTCTGCTAAGTGGGGCCAGTCCTCACCTAATAGTTCAAAGGAAAAAAAAACAAAACCAGAAAATATAAACTTCACCTTTCATCAAAAGCACCAAAAATGGGTTTTATCCCAAGGGGATCCTTTTTATAAAAAAAAAAAAAAAAAAAAAGGTCCTTTACAAACTGCCTTTTTAAAATGGTTCTGTCATTAGTGTAGATGGACTCAAACCATACCAGCATTGCCACAGGGATAAAGTGACCCCCCACAGGGAATGGGATGGCAACTGATATCTAGTGTGTCGTTCTCTGCTGTGGAGGGCATCTGTGAGTCCATGAAGCTGAAGGAAGCCAATGGGTAACACAAGTGTAAGAGCATAGGCTCAAGCCAAAATGGACCAGCAGCCAGTGAACAAACGTCAGTCCTGACGTGAAAGCTTGGCAGAATCGGGGTGAGTCAACCTGATGTCTAGTGAGTCCCAGGGGTCTGGTGGTACCCTGGCTGGAAAAGGTGGGTGAATCTAGGTGATGAAGCAACATAGTTGCTGCAGGAAGACAAAGGAAAGTTCAAAGCTATGAAACAAGTGATGAGGGAAGCGGAGTGGCCAGCTCATCCCACTGCTGGGCAGCACACAGGGCCTGGCACCAGGCTGGATCCCCTGCTTTGAAAACAGCTGTTGGTTAAGGAGGTTCAGCTCTTCAAGGTAGACAAGGCCTGGGATGACTCCTATGGTGTCAGGATGAGGCCCCAGTCTTGTCAGCTTTAATGGTGCTCATGGGGGAAGTCTCCTGCAAGCGGAGAATCTCAGCCGAGAAGAGATTTAGCTGCTTGTTCAAAACTTCACACCACGCTCCGACCCTGGGCCTCTACTTGGACACAAAACAAGCTGCCCAAGTATTAACCGGCAATGCAAAAGGCACCCGCATGTTTTCCAGGAGAGCGAACCAGTTGGAAGCCAGCAAGAAGCACTCTGACCGTCTCAGCTGACCTCCAGCAGGATGGAGAGTTTCACCCTCCGGTTCCCCAGCCGAGCCTGCATCTTGGGTATTGCAGAGCACCTGGCCCCTGCAGTGCTCCCAGCCCCGTGCCCCTCTGAGCAAGGCTTCTCACTGGGTCAATTGAATGTAATATTTGAAGCTGCCTGAAGGTGGCACCCCTGGGCTCTCCAGTGGCTTGTGTTGTTGAAGGTTGGGTAGATTTGCACCTTTATAAACTAACTGGACCGGAGATGGTAAAGCATGAGCTTTGTGAGCCCAAGATCGTGTCATCGGCTCTTCATCTATGTGGAAACCAGAGGACAAGCTGAGCCTCGGGTGTCCCTTTCCATGATGTTGCTGCCCGTGGCTTCTCTCGGGGCTGCCTTTTGCTGGGGATTCAGTCTCCACCCAAGCCAGGAAGGGCTTTGTGGGATCAGTGGCCACTATCTCAAGCATTCCACAGAGGAGACAGGAGAAGGTGCTGCTCATTCATAAGGACAGGGGTTTTCCCCCTTGGTACTGAGGCCATCGTTATGGGCCTACAAAGGACCCAGCTGAGAACAGGACCCCATAGTACTGGGCACTGCGTGGTTGAGTTACCCCCCCCCCCCCCAATCGAGTAGAGCAGTGGTTCCCAAACTCTGACAGATTGTGCACCACCAATTTAAAACGATACAACCTTAAGTACCACCGGCAAATTTTCCAGTTCAACCTTAAGTACCACCAGCACATTTTTACCATATAAAGTAATTATAATAAATCTGTTAATGTGTACCAGGTTGTCTGCGTTGTACCACAGATTGGGAATTGCTGGAGTAGAGGATGCCACGGCGCACAGACTGAGCTGTGTCCTGCCCAGTCGTCAAGTACTGATTTTGATGGAAAAGCCAGAAAAACCTGACAGTCGTGAAAATCTGCCTGCTCTATTTATCTGATCCCGATTTCAGTAACAGCTGGGCTTTTCCGGATTTGCCAGTTTTCACCCAAATCAAGGGGCAGTCGTGGGGGTCAGGGGATGGCTGGAGTTGGCTTCCCTGCTCCAGTGGGTGCACTGAGGAATGTATTGCTACAACAGGTGCACACAGGGTGAATGGAGCAGAAGGCGACACCGGCCCTGGTTATCAGACACCCTCCTCCTTAACCTTCAAGGAGCTTCATTCAGGAGTGGGGAGGGGTGCACATCTGCTTTAGCAGATCCCTTCCCAGGGGCAGCAGTGTCTTCTCACCAGTGTCTTTGAAAGGCAAATACAAGGTGCTTCAATGCTGGCCTCCAGCTACAGCTGTCTGGGCATCTAGGTGGCCTCTACCCTCCTGGCAGGTAAGTGCAGTTGGTTATGGACTTGGCCTTGCAACACCCCCTGCAGTGCAAGGATGTGTTATTGCTACTTGGGCCGGATGGAAAGTAAGGCCCGGTATCCCATGGGGAGGTCTTTGGCAGAGACGGAAACAGAACTTTGATCCCTGGGACCAGAGCTACTGCATCTGCTCTCCTCCCTGCACAGCCTTGACTCCCAGTCTTCTGGGACCCCTTCCCTGTCCACACATCCCCCTGAGATTGTGCATTGGATGGAAAGACTTCAGTGCTGAGGAAGAAATCACCAGCCAGCATCTTGGTGTCACCCGAACCAGGAGGCAGCACTGGCCGGGCTTGGAGCCCGCATTCTGGGCGCTGCCACACACTCACAGCTCAAGTCACCAAGTGGAAACCCACTGGCATGAGGAAGCAAGGTTGCCTGCAGGATGTCCTAAGAAGTGCCTTAGCAGGGAGGATGGGACACCAGCTCAAGTCCGTCAACAGCTGGAAGCAGCAGCAAAGGACAGAGGGTAGCAGAGATTAGCAGCATCTGTCACCAGTGCCAGTGCAGGGTGGATGTACAGTGCATTTGTGTGTGCAGCCTTGGGACTGAAACAGTGCTGCGAACTTGCCAGGGGCACACACTTACCTGCACTCGTTAGGAGCAATACTCATTAAATACGCAGCCTGGCCAGGGCTGGGCTAGTAGTAGCCCAGAAGGGGAGGAACTAGTCAGCTTCGGGCCTGAGAGCAGGGCACCAACAGTGCTGCAAACCTGGCCAAGTCCTGATAGTGCCGTGGGGTCAGTGGCCCCAGAACTGAGCAGCTCCCCTCTTTCCCACGGCTTCTAATTGCAGCCCTTGGAGAGCTGCGTCCCCTGCACTGCCCCTGGCATTGTTGCAGGCAATACTGTCACTGTGTCGGTGCATGTAGGTAACTGATATGCACATGACCAGGTTGTTGTAAGGAGGGGAGGGCTGTGACACTGGTGCCACGAGTGGCACTGCAGCATCTGTGGGGCATGTGGTGGATCGGGGAGGGGACAGGCAGCAGAGCATCTGATGGGACAGGGAAGACCAAGTCCCTCAGCTCAGTGCTGCTCTGGCGGAGGTCCACAGGTTGGCTGGAGCGGTGCAAAAACCTTTTTGGCAGCTGTGCCCCAAATTAAGCATTGTGACCTCCCCAAGAGCCACTCCAATTCCCTTCACCTGCAAGCAGCAGCTGGCACAGGGGTGAGTTGGGCCTGGGCCAGTGCCCAGGAAGCACGGTTCCCTTCCCGCCTGCAGAGGTTGTTGAGGACGGAGAGGACAAGGGCAAGATTCAAATGCCTGTAGGGCTGCACAGTCAGGAATGCAGCTGCTTTCCCACAGGCCAATGCAGGAAGAGGGAGGGTCCAGATCCACCCCCTCGCCTGGCCTGCCTCTCGGAAAGGGGTTTGGCGAGGCTGAAAAGCAAAGCTAGCTGCTGCAGGACCTGCAGTCCTGGGGAAAGCAGGCTAGAGCAGAGCATGGGGGTTATCCTAGGCTACTGGGACATCCGTGGGGTGAGTGCTGGGAGGATAGCAGGGGGTGACAGCCTTCTTTCTCCTGGAGCCCCCTTGCCCGGCCTCCCTTTCCCGCTCCCACCAGACCCTGGAGGTGCCCCTGCCCACAGGCTTATGGGGGGAGGGTTGGGTGGGGGGGCAGGGTCTCAATCCACAGGGGCTGTCCCACCCCGGAGCAGAGTCCTCCCTGTGCCCCCTTTGCCTCAGCAATAGGAGCCCCTTCAAATCCCTCCCAGCCAGGCTTTCCATTGACTCTTGTCTTTAAATTCCCCTGCTGCTATGGCATTTGGGGGGATCCCACTGCTTTCTTGCCTTATCTGCCCAGTAGTCTCAGCAATGGCAGCCCTGTGTCCGGGCTCCCCACGAGGCAGCTTCTAACCCTACTGATGCCGCAGAGCCACCCTGGCCCGCGGCAGAGCATTGGCATGTGCCTGGGAACGTGGGCCCAAGGGCTTGGGTTCTCTGCCTCTTTGGAGTGGGGCAGGCTGTGTGGTCTTCCTCAAAGGGCAGACATGCCACTGCAAGGCACCTGCGGTGTCCAACACTCTCCCATTCCCCTCTGCAGCTGGCCCACTCCATCCGAATGTTGCTGGAGTACACGGGCACCCCATATGAGGACAAGCAGTACACCTGCGGGGAAGGTAAGGGGTGGAGGAGCTGCGCCCTCCTGCCGGGTGTGAGATGGGTACCAGGCACCAGCAAGCCAGAAGGAGACCGGGATCAGTGCAGGGGAGGGGAGGGCTTGTACCAGTGTGCTGGAGTAGTGAGCCTGCAGAGCTGGCATTAGAGCAAGGGACTGGTGCTCCAGAGCTGCTTAATGCTGGGGATGGGGACCCACCATTTTGCACTTCAAGCTCGATAGGAAATCGAAACAAGTGCCTGGGCCTTGCGCTGTGTGGAGCTGGGAGCGGAGTGACAGTCTCTTTAGGTCAGGGCCTAGCGAAGTCAGCAGAGGCACTGAGCTTGAATCAGCCCTGATTGCTGCTGGAAACTGCAGGCAACTTGGCCCTGCGGGCCCGGCTCTTCCCTGTAGGAATCGGGAGCAGAATGGCAGCCGTCCCAGGGACAAACTAGGTCAGGTTTCCTGCGCAAGGGGAGGAAGCGCTGGAGCAAAGCAGTTAAACAGGCTGAAACATTAGCTGTGTTCGCTCTCCCCAGGCGAAAGGGGAGGACTTATGTTTCAGCATGTCTGTCTGGGCTAGAAGCTGCCTTTTGCTGCCTCGCTGGGGGACGGGAGTAAGAACTGGCCTGCGAGTGCCATGAGGTAGAGGGGGTGTGCCTGACCACCTGCTCCTCTGGGGCTCTCCTCATGCCCTGGAGAATTATGCAATTATATGCTTGTGCAATTTTGTGCTTAATAGGTATGACAGTGCAGAATTGTATAAACTTTGCATAATTTAACTATGGCAGGCTCTGTGCCTCTGCTGCTTTGATGTGGAGGTACAGAGCAGGGTGACTGGACAGCTGGGTAGGGGAGCTGTCTGGGGGTGGGGGTAGGTGTGGGGTTTGTGGGTGGGCATGGGCCACACACCATCAGGCTGGGCTGGCCGGCTCAGTGCCTCCATGTGGGGCTTCCAGCACTCCAGCGGGAAGCCGCATGTGGAGGCAAGCAGGAGCCCGCACATGACTGTGCCTCCATGTGCAATATCCTGCTGGAGTGCTGGAAGCCCCACATGCAGGCCCGGCCTGGCCCCATGACACATGGACTGGAGATGTGCGTCATTGGGCTGGGCAGGAAGCTGCACACGGAGGCATGCACCATCAGGCTGGGTGGGCTCCTGCTTGCCTCCACATGTGGCTTCCTGCTGGAGTGCTGGAAGCCCCACGTGGCAACACTGAGCGTGGCTGGCCTGATTGGTGCATGGCTCCCGGTCCACACACCATCAGGCTGGTCCAGCCGGCTCCGTGCCTCTATGTGGGGCTTCCAGCAGTCCGGTGGGAAACTGCACATGGAGGCATGGGACTCGACCAGAGGTGTGCGCTGCCAGGGGCTCTGCCTGCTATGGCCATGAGCACCACAAGGGCCTGCTGCCATTGAGCCGCTGGCAGCTGGGCTGTGCACTATGGGAGCGGAGATGTGTAATGGGGCCGGGGTGGGGGGGGCCACAGCCACCTATAAACCCCATACTCGTACACCCCGTCTCACTGCCCTACCCATAACCCCACAAACCCCACACCCATCCACGCCCCCCCACATATACCCACACCCCTCAACACCTTCACAAATCCCTACCCACATACCCCCCACAACCATACAAAGTACCTGCATATATTTCTAAAGAAGGTTCAAATAGTAATTAATCATGCATAATTTTGAGTTTTTCTGTGCATAATTCCCTGGGGTGTAGTTAGACCTCAAGATGGTGGACGCGTGGTGTGTGTGTGTGTGTGTGTGCACATACCAGGGGCTGGAGGAGATGCGGTGTCAGGGCCCAGGGAATTGTTGCATCTTCTCCTTCCAGACCCAATTTGCTCCTCCTTCAAGGTCATGTTGTGCGTGTCCTTGAGGCCAGGGCCACTTGCTTTCTAGATGCTGTTAACAAGAGCCCCCCACCCCTTTGTGCAGTGCATTGCAGAG